GACCCGGGACCCTTGAGGCCGCAGGCCGATGCTGTATCCACTGAGCCAAACCGGTTAGGGCTCACCTGCAATCTTAAGTCCCCTTTGCCATCCTTGCAACAGGTGCTGGGAATAGGATGTGAACATTTTGGGGGACTATTTTTCTGCCTACCATGCATGGCCATATCTCTGTGGCCTCACAGTTTTTACCAGTGATTTCAGAACTAGTCACTTTTGTCTCTTTGCTCTATTTTCCGACTCCGAATTAGAGGCAACCATCAATTAATAGGAGACAGGAGTCAACTGAAGGAATCAGGCAAAGAAGTGACCTTGAATGACGAAATAATTTCATTGGCACCTGCCTCAACCTCTCGCCGTGTGTTAAAGCTAGTTATACATAGAAGGTTCTTTTACCTACGCCTATGTTCTCATCCAGGGAAAGGTAGAAGCTGTGTCTTTCCAAAGAAATAGGGGTGTATTGCCTGAGCATTTTTTTAAAAATGTCTAATCAGAGATATAATAAATTTTGCCAAAGTTCAGTGTGTATTTTTTTTCTCTCTGTTGAGCAGGTGGTTGAAAGTTGTGGAATGTTGTTTTTCCGAATATAGAATCATAATGTCCTTGGGAACATGCTCATTAAAATAGAAAAATTGGACTGTATTAATTTGCATTTCAGTTAACTCTTTGGGTAGATTTATATAACTGCCTCTTACTATAATTGTTTGCCTCGCTGGTGAAAATGCCACATCCATTTGCAGATTATTATGTCATTATCAGAGGCACAGAGGGAAATCGAAATTCACTTTTAGCATTTAGAGAAACTGTACGAGAAGCCGGTGTAGGGGAGACCAGGCAGGGGTTTTCAAGCCCTTCTTTAGGCCGACAGTGTCATTTAGACTTTACCTTATGAAGTGTTGGTTTGGAGGGTAATAAACTGGTTGGGAGACCTCACTGGTTAAGCTCCATCTCACATTTACGGTGAGATCTGTCTCAACCAGTTAGTTGCTTAGAAACGTTTATGAGTGCATACTCTGTGTCAAAGTCTTTGGAAGGCAATGGGATACTATCCTTAGAGCTGCCATATTGCACAACTCCAGGAGTGGCCATTTATGCCACTCTGTAGACTATATGAATGGCACCCCTGGAGTTGTTCAGCGAATGACTGAGATCTTATTCAGTGATCCTGGCATTGCCCACAAGAAAGCCTGTAGCCTGGTGGTGGGGGGAGAGAACAGATTCACAAATGGCCTCTTAAAATTCTTACGCTACGTGTGAGTGGGTACACCCATGAGCACCGAAGAGGGAACATCTAACTTTTCTTAGAAAAGTTAGGGTATCTAGGAAGTTTTCTCTCTCAGATGAGGCCTTCCCTTACACTGAGTCTTGAAGACTCAATAGGAGATGGTTAGGTAAAAAGTTGAGCAGTCTGGGCAAAGCCAATAGTCTACAAAGAAACAGGGTGTGCCAAAGCAGCCGGCATTTGCGGGATGTGCACGTATTTCAGTACGACTGGAGTGTGACATTCCTGTGGGAATGTGACGCAGCAAAGCGTTGCCCTTTCTGTGCCTTGATGCCCTGTTTAGTAGAACAGAGAAAACAGCACTAGCTACCTCATGGGTTTTGGTTTTAAGTGAGATGCGTAGGACAGGGCCTGACATAAAAAGCACTTAAATGTCAGCTGCTGTTGATGACGACAAGCATGGTATTACAGGAGCCGAATAAACACACAAGGTCTGCATAGCTCCTGCCGAGGAGTTTTGACATTATACTGTTGGCCTAGGGCCTAGGGAAATTGTCAAATGATTTTTTTTTTAATGGTGATTTGCAGCTTAGTAGATTTATAAACTGTAGCCATCATTTTGCAAGGCTGATTAGATCCTGGTGAATTGAGTCATCTTACTCAAAACCAGGGGTCCTCAAACTACGGCCCGTGGGCCACATGCAAATACAAATATTGTATTTGTTCCTGTTTTGTTTTTTTGCTTCAAAATAAGATATGTGCAGTGTGCATAGGAATTTGTTCATAGTTTTTTTTTAAACTATAGTCCGGCCCTCCAACGGTCTGAGGGACAGTGAACTGGCCCCCTGTTTAAAAAGTTTGAGGACCCCTGCTCAAAACCATCAGAGACTGATGAAGAAAAATGTCACTTTATCAATGATTGTTCAACATGGAAACCACGCAGCATGGTGTGATCGTTACGGCAATGAGGTAGGAACCTTGTGTTTCCCTCCCATGAATTGGTAAACTTTCCTCAGTTCCCCTGTCAGTTCCTCTGTGAGGATGAGGAGTCAGAGCGAAGGCAGATGAATGCTTTAAAGGGCTTGTTCTCAACAGAGGATGCTGACCCAATGAATCAGCCCAGCTCACTGACCACAGGTGTGCCTGACAGATGAGAGTTCCCAAAGCATTTGAGTCGAGGCACCATCTCTTCCGGAAGTGGTGAAGACACTCCGATTTTCTCTGCTTTCTCCTCTGACCAATATCCCTTTTGTTTTTTGACACACCCCTGCCCCAGCCTCTTTTGTCATCATCGCTTGTTTTCGGCAGGCTTTCAGGAGGTGTCTCACCTTCCCAGCTTCACTTGCTTCTCTTTAAGGGTGGCTGCTGTTTAATGGGATTTACGTAGTTTCAATAATATACACTCTCCACAGTGCTCATTTTTTCATTGCGTTCAGGACTAAATAGTGAGTTATTTCTGGGAATTGTTAGTCAATTAAGCCCATCATTGTGGGTGAATTCACAGTACTATTAATTACGTGGAATGGCCTTTTTTCTTTTTCTTTTTTTGTTAATCCTCACCTGAGGATATTTTTTCCATTGCTTTTTCAGAGAGTGGAAGGAAGGGAGGGAAAGCGGGGAGGAGAGAGGAACAGAGAGCAGAGAGCGAGAGACATCGATGTTCTGACCTCTACTGGTTGCTTCCCACAAGAGCCCACGACTGGGAGTGGGAAGGGAACCTGAAACCCAGGTATATGCCCTTGATGGGGAATCGACCCCGAGAGCCTTTGGTGCTCAGGCCCTCGCTTTGACCTCCGAGCTACACCGGCCAGGGCTGGAATGGCCTTTCCATTTCTTAGTGTCATCTCACTTTCCTAACGTGTTGTTTTAATCATCTCTTACACTAGATGTTGGAATCCGTCATATTTGAAGACCTGTACTTTAATGAATGTGTTGGGAGGATAAGATTTGTCTCTTAAAGTTGCTATATTTGTATAGAAATAAACATTCTTTTATCAAAGTACTATTATAAGACTTTAGAAGTTTAGTATCTTTTTACTGAATGCTTTAGAAATATATACATTTCTTTTACTAGATTTTTATACTTTCATTTAATGCTATAATGTTACTTTATACATTCTATCAAGCATTCCAAGTTCAGGCAGATCTTTTATCAAAACAGTAATAATGCGAAAAAGACAGAAAATTTGTTCTAGTTATGCTCAATAATGTACATTTTGTCTTGCCCTCACCTTTATTATGTGATCTCTTCATCACAAACATCAATGTATCCCCCAAAATTAATTATACATTTTGAATTGTAATTACCTGGATCTCTTTAATGATAGTTATTTAAAAACAACAACAACAACACGGGAGCATCTGAACGTTTGGCATGTGCATTTTAAAATAAAACTAGAACTTTTTTAAAAAAAAAAAAGGTGGAGAAGGCCCACGTAAATTCACTGCCTTTTGGAATATGTATTCTGAATATTGTCTTTAAACATTTAAATCAGAATGCCTTGATAGAATGCCACAATCACTGCTCATTATCTTGAATTCACGTGCAGGTCATTTCTTCTTAACCGTTTAAAAAAATGTGAATGTTCACCATGTTTTGCTCCATAGGAAATCAGTCACAATTGTTCAAAATGGATAGTTATTTTTAAATGAAAGCACTTAAAAAAATTAAAATGAAAGCTCTGAGAAAGATTGCGCTCCTAAATTTTAATGCTTCAAAGATTACAGATGTTGACATTGTGATGAAACAGAACTTGCCTCTGGCAAGTCTGTTCCATGAAAAAGTTAGAGCTGAGGCTATATTATAATGAAATATTTATTAAAATTCTTACGCTGTACTGAAAAGCAGGAGTGTACCTGTGCTCTTCTGAATTCTCTGCTCTAGCAAAACATTTTATGATGCTGTACATATTTGCGTTGATACAACATGGAGAAAGTGGTTGTTCTTCCTTACTTGGAATAAACTTAAAGCAAAATTCCAGCAAGAGCACCAGAGTTATTTCTAAAAATGCAAGGCATGTTTTTCTTTTTCTTTTTAAAAATCCTCTGGCAAAATAGGACCTAAGGCTTTAAGAAATAAATTTCATTTATATGGCTATTTTTTTTTATAGAGAGGGACTAGATCATCTAAAGTTATTTTACTAACTTACTGTAAAGGGCCAAAAAACACATAAAAAAACATGACCAGTTTGTCAATAATTTTTTTGTGTGTGTGTGGGGGGGGAGGGGCACGTTTCTATTATCTAATTCTAAGAAGCACAATATTCTGAGGTTGAGGTGGATGTGGATGTGGAAAACAAATACTTGGACTCTGTTGGGAATGTCGATTGATGTAGATTTTCTCAAGGGCGATGTGTTCATCAGAAGCCTTGAGGTTCATAGCATCTGATCTAGCAGTTCTACCTCTGGGACTGTAGCCTAAGGAAATAATAGAACAATGGGGCAAAAAATAAAGACAATATTTATTGTAGCATTTGTTTAGAATAGCAAACATTTGGAAACATTTCAAATTTCCCTCAGAAAAATAATCAAAGTATGGTTCTTTCATCCATTGTATATCTTATAGTGATATAGAATGGTGCTGTGCAGGAAAAGGCAGCATGATATGGCAAGTAAGTTACAATCTAGTGTATAATATAGTCTCACTTATGGTTGAAAAAACAAGTGTGCACTGACTTGGTGGATATATAGTTAACAAAATGTTACCAGAAGCTATCACTGCATAATGGATGTGGGAAATGTTTATTTTGTTCTTTGCTGTTCTTTTAATAGAAGTAATACATACATTTTTACAAGCAAAAAAATGTTTTTAAATCTACCTGTTTGACTAGCACTTCTACTAATCTGTTCTACAAGTACAACTGGATATGAGCATGCAAAATGTTAAATAATGTTCAACACGGCATTATTAAAAATCATTTTTAAAAATTAACCTGTCTACCTATCCCCTATTGTCAGGAATTTAAGTAAGAAAGGCATAGTATAACCATACTTCACAGCTATTGAAATTGAAGATGTAAATAAATCTGTATTCGTTAATATGGAAAAGATGACCCTAGCCAGTTTTGCTCAATGGTTAGAGTATGGGCCCTTGGACTGAAGGGTTTAGGGTTTGATTCTTGTCAAGGGCACGTACCTCGGTTGCAGGCTCGATGCCCAGCTCAATCCCCAGCCTAGTTGGTGGGTGTGCGGGAGGCAACCAGTCGATGTGTCTCTCTCACAGTGATGTTTCTCTCTCTGTGTCTCTCCCCCTCCCTTCCACTCTCTCTAAAAAAAATCAATGGAAAAATATCCTCAGGTGAGGATTAACAACAACAGCAACAACAAAAATCAATCTATGATAAGAGAACAAATTATTCAACACACATTCCTGATTAAAAATAAACAAAACTTGGTGTATTTAGAATAAGTAGAATTAGTTATGTCTTTTGCTTTATTTTAAATCTATAGTCTCATGCCAAACCAGCATCATATCTTGTGAAACACAAGAAGCATTCCAGTTGAAATTTAATGTATGACAAGAATGCTCACTTTTATAAACCTGACTCAGAAAGTACCAGCCGGGAGATAGCAGATATAAACCTGAGAGTGGAAGTTGCAAACTTAGTATTATTTGTAGATATTTTAAGTGCATACCTAGAAAATAGAGAATCAACAGAAAAATTATTAGAAAGAACATGAGAAGTCAGATGTCTGGCTAGTAATAATGCTGCTGGCAGGGATACAGGTGCAAAGAAAGGAGAAACTGGATGCATACATCATCCACTAGGAGCGGTTTCAAAGGTATCACCCACCAGCATTCACACCCACGCGACATAAAGCAGGCCCCAAGCACAGCACTGCAGGACATTCTTTCACCTTATAACACAGGCTGCTGCCCGCTCAGCATGCGGCCACTGGTTGAATCATAAATAAAAATGACAAAGGACATTATGGAAAGAAAAGAGGGATGACAATCCTGGGGGGGAAAGGCTGAGACTATATAGTAAGGAGAGAAAGGAATGGGTTCTCAGAAGACTAGAGCAGTGGTTCTCAACCTTCCTAATGCCGCGACCCTTTAATACAGTTCCTCATGTTGTGGTGACCCCCAATTTCATTGTTACAAATTGAACATAATTAAAGCATAGTGATTAATCACAAAAACAATATGTAATTATATATGAGTTTTCCGATGGTCTTAGGTGACTCCTGTGAAAGGGTCGTGCCACCCCCAAAGGGGGCGCGACCCAGAGGTTGAAAACCACTGGTCTAGAGCTTGTGCCTAAGCCAGCTTTTATACCCTTTTGATCAGGCCTACTTAATGTGTTAGCTTCTTAATGTTTTTAAATTTGACACCTATGAATTGCAAGAGTCCACATTTTCACAAGTCTGGATCTTCAACCTCTCCTGAAAACTTAGAAGCCCCAGCAATGAATAATGTCCTTTTCTGCAAAATCAGCAGAGGCTGGAACGGAGCTGGCTGTCTCCTGCACGTGCTCAGACTCCTCAG